AGTTAATTGCCTCACAAATTGTTCTATTATTCTTGTCTTAAAAAGCCAACTGTATTTTATATCAATCAGAGTTTTTGACTTCTGGATATAAAGTCTACTCATCAAGGCAAATCTATATTCGTTATTTGAAAAAGAATAAATAACACTGTAATATCATTATAACACAGTTATAGTCAAAGACAACTGGGATGTCACTTTTTTGTGGGAGGTGTTTGTCGAGAACTGGGATGTCACTTATTTGTGGGAGGTGTTTGTCGAGAACTGGGATGTCACTTATTTGTGGGAGGTGTTTGTTTTCAAGGACTGGGATGTCACTTTTTGTGGGAGGTGTTTGTCAAGAACTGGGATGTCACTTTTTGTGGGAGGTGTTTGTCGAGAACTGGGATGTCACTTTTTTGTGGGAGGTGTTTTTTTCAAGAACTAGGAAGTGAAGACAAAACAGAATTTAAAGGTGAGACTAACGAGCACAAACAGAAAACACCTGGGAGAGAAACATGTGGAACAGGTGAGAGTGGGTGGGGCTGGAGCAAAAGGCAGACAGGAGGAAGAAAACAGATGACAAGACAGAAAACTAGAATAAAACATTAATACAGACACCTGTCAGAGTGGACATTAAATTACCCCTTAAAAAGAAATAAACCAGACACAGACGTAAGTATTYAGTTTATAACAGTTTTCTCTTTGCAAAGAGKGAGAAGTTTCTGAGGACGCTTAAAAGACAGGTCTCAGCAGAAAGTTCTGACCTCCGCTGGGAAAATCTGTACAATTTATTACAAGCTGAGCACAGAGAGAAACATCTTGGCCAATCACAGGGTTGCTTCTTATCAGTCTCTGCAGCTGCAGAGATGAAAATTATGGCAGCAAGAAAGACATTTAATACAGTTGATTGATGCAATAGGATCAAATATAAAAAATGATAAAGTTTAAAAATATCTATCATTCCCCCCTGTTTATCATTTTTATTCATTTTATTAAAAGAGAGTGGGGGTAAAGAAAGAAAAAAAAACATCAAACTTATAAAAACATTAGAATCATGAAATATGTAGAAGAATAACCTTAAAATGTAAAAATGTGATTATAAGTAGATTCAAAAACCCAAACCAGTCTTGTAATGAGAATAAAAACATAATAAAAACACTAATAAAACATTGTCAGTTTTATGTCACTTTTTTCAGTTTAAATCATAATGGGACATAAAAGCCTCAAAGATTTATCAAACCTTATTAATAATGCTCATAAAAATGTAATAAAAACTTAATTTTATTTAAGCTTGTTAAGAAAAGCTTGTTGTACTCTTTTAACCATGTAATAAAAGCCCTTTTTTAGGCAAGCTTGTTAAGAAAAGCTTATTTAATAAAACATTGTATATGGA